CAGAGGCCCCGGAGGCCCGCAGAGGCCAGGCGCGGCTCCGTCGGGGGCTGGCCGTCCTCTCCAGCCCATGACTGGGTGTGGGTCCTCCCCGTTGGCTTCGTCCTCCACCGTGCAGGCGAGTTCCAGCAGCGCTGGCCCCATGCGGAAACGCGCGGCTGGCCTTGCCAGATCGTGTTGGCCTGGGCTGGGTGACATGCCTGTTCCTGAGCAGGGCCGAGGACCAGGACGTGCCACGCGCTGACGGGCTGGGTCGGGATCCGTGGCACCGTAAAGGGGGTGGGTTCCTTAGACCCAGCCCTGGAGACTGGCGTGGCGGGGGCCTGATGAGCCCAAGGACGCTAGGGCCTCTCCGGGAATCAGGGAGACACTGCCGGGGTACACTCCACCAGCTGCACTCACTCGCCCACGGAACCCGCTGAAGCCGGCCCCCACGGCGCGCACACGCCCCTACACGGCTGCAGGGACGTCTGGACCTGCCGGCCGGGAGGCAGCCGTCCCACGTCCGAGCTGGCTCCTTGGGCCTCGCCATCCCTCTCCTTATCCCGCGGCGGCCAGCGCCTCCGCGGACCCCTCCATAGGGCCCCTCTTCATCCCCGAGGACCCCGAGGGGGCCCCTGGTCAGCAATGCAGGCCACACTTCAGTTCTGCCACTCACTGAGCTAAGCTGAAGTGTGAACCCCTCGGTAGCTGGGGCCTCGCACCCTCCTCGGGGGCTGTCGCAGGAGCCGGGGAAGTCGCGCCTGAAGATGCTTAGGGCTGGAGCTCCGGCTGGTTGCTCCCCCGAGGCGTCGGCCCGCGGACCCTGCCTTTGCTTCCAGTCGGCCCCTTTCTTCTCACGTCGCCTGTTCCCACACGCTGCGTGGCCCGCCTGTGGCCAATGTCCTGTCTCCACCCCGTTGCTCCCTCTAACCTTATTCTTCCCTCCGACCTTCCTGGCCAGAGCTCGGCACTGGACCAACCTAGCTTTCCTTGGGCCAGGGACTAGGTTGCCGGGAAAAACCGGTGCTGGGGCAGATGGTTGCGCCAGAAACTCGATCGTGTGGCCTCCCGGAAGGCCCCGCTGCCCCTGCTCCGCCCGTGTCAGCTGCTTTCCATATTCTCCAAAGAAGCAGTTTCCAGCCTTCATCCCTTTCCTCCAGCTTCCATTCCTTCTGTCACCAAACCTTCCGTTCCTAGCAGATAATTCGAACTCCTAACTCTCAGGGGGAAAAAACAAAGCGGGAACATTCGAGACCCCCACCATTCCCACCGGCCCGGCGGGGCAGGTCCAGCCGCGCCCTGCCAGACTCCCTCGGGCGGGGGCGTCCCAGTGCGCCGCCGGCTGGCTCCCGGGGCCGCCTCAGGCACCGGCCTCCCCGCCGCCTCCGCACCCCCCCCCTCAGCCGGAGACCAGCCTCTTGGGCGTGCTGCGCCTTCCCCACACCTGTCGCCGCCCGGCCCGCTCCACACACGCTCCACACACGCTCGCACGTGCTCCGAGCTGTATGTGCTCCTGCTCCGCTCGCACCTCTCTCCCGAGGGTCCCTGCTCGCTGGGACTTGCTCCCCTCTCCCCCGACCTCCTGGAAAGATTTAACGCTGCTGCCTCCTTGTAGTGTGTTCGCCTCGGCTTCTGCCACGCCAGCTGGCCACGGGCGTCCTCAGTGTCCACTGCCCAGCGCTTAGCATCCTGATATTCAGGACGTTACTGAAGACCCCATTTTTTTATTCATCCTATTGTCTTGGCACAATAGGATGGATTGCCCTGGCCCACCCAGGGGCTCCCGTTGCCAGCTGACTTCGTTCAGTGTTCCCAAAGTCAGCCCCCACGGTACAGTACCGCTTATCAGCTCAGAGTCGGTGTTCGCTGCCCGCGGGCCTCTCCAACAGGCCTCCCAGCAGCCCTCCGCTGAACCCAAGCTCTTCTCCCAGACCTGCTGATTCTCCTTGTCTGGTGAGTCGTGACACCCCTACTCTCCTGCCCGTGGCGAAGAACCTTAGCGTTGTCCTGGGCTCCGTCCTTCCCCCAGACTTCATATCCAGACCGCCGGGCCCTCTCATTTGTGTGTGGGGGAGAGAGCAGGGGCGTCGGTTGAAATTCTAGTCATGCTTTGGGCAGACACCGAAGCGTTCCCAGCTCCAGGTTCCTCATCTGTACAGAGGAAACAGTGACGTGTGAAGTAGACGGCGGTCAGGACGGAGGGGGCCGCAGCGAACCCCAGCTCTGCCCGCCACCGCTCGCCCTCTGCCTCCTTGCCTTTCCGCTGGGTCAGTGCGCACAGCTGCTTGGCTCTGCGAGTCGCCCTGGGGCTGAGTTGACCATAATCCTTTCGTGACCAAGGCCCACAGCGTCTGGCTCGGGGCTCTCACCGCAGCATCCGAAGGAGGCGGACGGAGCCCACGACCCCGGCGCCACTTTGCCGGGCGGCTCTCCTCCCCGCCTCGCCGTCTCTGGTCGTTTCACTGGCTTGCAGTCAGCACGCCGCTGCTGTTTGTCACCTGGGCCGCCCACTTCCCTGGGTTCACGAGTCCTTCGCCAGCAGCCGACAGGCTGCCCGCGGGGCGTCCGAGACGCGGTCAAGCACAGCAAGCCGTGCCCATCTAGCCGGCCCCTCGGGCCTCCCCAGGATTCATCCCCGGGGAACCATTTGTGAAAGAGCCTGTCTTCCCACGTTCATGCTAATGTTTCTCAGACAATAGGTCACAGATCTACGTGAGCCAATAGGTCACAGATCTACGGATTTCTGCGTGGTGAATCTTTGAAACGGGCTCAGTGGGTAGACAGCTCAGATGGCAGCCGCAAAAACAGGCAAAAAAATGGCCCTCCCTGGTGGCGCAGCGGGTTACAGCACAGCACTGAGAAGCTAAAGCCGCTTCTGCATGAGTTCGATTCCTCTCTGCCCCGAGGTGACCACATGGCGCGGCAGACCTCTCCTGACCCGCCCGCTGCTCCCCTCAGCAGTGTACTTCGTCAGTCTGCGGGTTCTGCTCCCCTCTCTGTCTCTGGTGAAGCCTCTCGCTGCCCCTGAGCCTCTGGCCTGTACCCCAGTTCTGTATGCATAAATAAGTAAATCTTTAAAAAAAAAAAAACAGGCAAAATAAGAGGCCTGTAACTCGTGGGCCCTTCAACAGGGCCACCTGCGTCTCGGAAGGAAGCCGGGAAGGTCCAAGCGCCGGGAAAACGTGCCTTGGTTGAAGTCCTGGCTCCGGGTGGTGAAGGAGGGCATCTTCCTGCTTTTTTGCTTTCCTCTGGGTCAGAAAGCGGACAGGCCATTCCTGTGAGCTCGCTTCCCTCCCAGGAAGAGAGCACTTGTCCTGCATCTAACGACGCCAGTCATTAGCTGTGTTAACAGCCCTGCAGTTAAAAAGAAAACAACAGTTTATAATAATGTACCCTCCTAATGCACAGTCAATTTTCGTTAAAATTTCCCAGGTGGTTTAAAAGCTCAGTGAATTTGTGAGTCTAGTCATTGGCGTGTGAAAGCTGCCGTAACCGGCGGGGCTCTCGCGGGACTGATAACCCCACCGCGGTCTGGCTCCCGGTGGCCCGGCCAGCGCTCCCCTGAGCGGCCCCTCCGAGTCCAGAGCTCCGGCCTTAGACACCCGCCTGACTGACCGTCCCTCACCCGAGAAAACCACGAGGGCCTCACAGTTCACACGTCCTAGGTCAGCTGTGGACTCCTGCCCACCCCTAAATTCCGTGCTCCCCTCAGCGACGGCACCACCCTCTGCCCAGCTGCTCACCTCAGAAGGCTCAACCACCGTGACTCGTGCTCTTCCATCCTTGCCACACCCCAGCATCCAGCCCAACGGCATGCACTGTTCATCTTGCTTCTGAAACTTCCTGTGGAAAACAGATCTCAGGCTGCCCATCTCTCGCCATGTCATCGGCGCCCTAGTCCCAGACCCTCGCGCTGACCGGCACTGCCTGGGGCTTGCTGGGGCCGCAGGCTGCTGCCCTCCCTGCAGTCTGCTCTGCACAGCAGCCCTGGGCCCCTGCTGACGCTCACTCACTCGCTCGGTCATCCGCCCCTTCCTTGATATCTGCCGGAGGCTTGCTGTTAAGGTGAAGACCCAAAATTCGAAAGCGACTGGACAGCCACACACGCTCTGCCCTGGCCTTCCCCTCTCGGGTGCCCGCCCACCTTGTCCCCCACAGCTCTTGGCTTCCGGCTCACCCTTCGGTTCCTGGGGCTCCTGCATGAGCTTCGTGCCACCACGCTCGCTCTCCTTCCTGCCCACGGTCTGGGGACCCACCCCCCACCTCCTGCCCTCTAGGCAGGCCCTTAACTTCTGTACAAACAACTTCAGAGAACCCATTTTATTTTATTTTTTAAAGATTTATTTATTTCTGCATACAGAACTGGGGTACAGGCCAGAGGTGCAGGGGGGCACAGTGAGAGGCTTCACCAGAGACAGAGTGGGGAGCAGAACAGGCCGACAGACAAAGTACACCGCCGAGGGGAGCAGTGGGCAGACAGGAGAGGTCTGCTGCGCCCTGTGGGTCCCTCCCTGGCCGGGGATCGAACTCGTCTGAAGCGCCTGCGGCTGGCTTCGCAGTTGGCGCCCCAGGAAGAACCTGTTTAAAACCGCAGCTTTGTGTATATTCACTCCCGGTGTGGCGATGTCATGGTATCCATCTCCTCCCCCCGGCCTGTTCCGCCCCTGGAGGAGACCCCTGGTTGCCACCATTCCCTGCCCCTTCCCCGTCAGCTGGGTCGGTGTCTGCAGGAAGTAGGTGCTTAATAAATCACGGGGGCGATAAGTAGGTGCTTAATAAATCACGGGGGCAGGAAGTAGGTGCTTAATAAATCACGGCAGGCTGGGCGAGTAGGTGGCGTCCTGCACCATCCTCACTGACCAGTGTCCCGCGAGGTGAGGTGTGAGCTCTCTGGGACCCAGGCCCAGCTTCTCCACAACGTTATCAGCAGAAAGGGGTGTGACTTTGCTCTCCCCTCTCAGCCATCAGAATGAACAGTACATGTGACCTGAAACTGACAGTGTCCTCTTCTCTCCATTCAGCTGAAGCTTGCTTTCACCCTGGACCACGAGACTGGACTGCCTCAAGGGTGTTACATCTATGAGTACCGCGACAGCAACAAGTAAGCCCCGGGGATCCTCGCCTCCCCGGTCCCCTGCGGGCTTCTCTCGGGAGAGGTTGTCAGGGCAGGAATGAAAGTGTTTCTCTCATCAGGTCCCTTTTGCCCCTAAGTGTGGGCCTTGAGGTACCGGCGTGGGAGCAGCTGGTGGGGTGGGAGCTGCGGTCGAGCATCCGCTCCACCCACACCCACCCGCTGACTCTCCATCCTCGAGCTCTGGTTGTACTTGCGCTGAGCGCAGCCCGGCCGAGGGCCGGGGGGCGGGAGCCAACCTTGGGAGGCTCTGGCTGGGGTTTCTGGTACCAGTCATTGGCATCGCCTTGCTCCCTTCCTGCTGCCGCCTGCATGTTTTCGTCCGCAAGTCAGTGGAGGTGAGCCGGGGGCACCGTGCTGGCGAGTGCATTGGCCACAGCAGGGGACGGGGCACGTTTGCAGGTTTACGCCTTAGCAGGCCCGTGTGGCCCCTGACTGTTGTATTTGTGGAATCTGTGGCCAAGATAGGGCGAGGCAGATGCCACCCATGATTCCTGGGGAAGAGAATAAAGTCAGCTGTCCCAGGTTGCTTCTGGAATCCCAGTCAGCGGCAGGAACACCTGAGCTAATCACTTAAGTGTCTGAGCTGTCACATCTTGCCCAGAGCAGGGGGTCAGGCCAGGGCAGCCGTATTTCACCTCCGGGGCGGGTAGCGTGCCCCTCCGGGCCAGGGCAGCCGTACTTTACCTCAGGGGTGGGGGTGGC